TTAAAAAAATTTTTTTGAAGAATTAAATTTTTTAAAAAAAATAAAGCTTATAATAATAAACTTTAATCTTTTTTTAAATTTAAAGTTTATTATTATAAGCTTTATTTTTTTAAAAAATTTACTGTTATTATTATATTAAGCTTTATTATCAGTTTATTTTAAAGCAGCTTTATTCTAAATCTGATAATAATCATAAGCTTTATAATCCTAATTTTTCTCCAGCTGCAATATTTATTTGGCTCCAGACAATTGTCAGGAATTGCCATTGATAACTTTTGTGAAAGTGCCGCTGATAAATTGTAAATAATTTAGATATCTTTTGCAAAGGAAATTAAATATATAATAAGCTGTCATTAATTTTTAATTTCAGATTATTTTCGAGATTTTATTCCAAAATTATCAATATAATCAATATTAATGACAGCTTAATTACCCGCAGACTGGGTAATTCCAGCTCTGCTAACTACCTAAATAAAAGATATCTGGTTGATCCTGCCTGAACTGATGTGTTCATTTCAAAGATTAAGCCATGTATGTATAAGTTTAATCGTTTTAACGAGAAACCGCGAACGGCTCATTACAATGGCCATGATTTACTTGATCTTGATTATCTAAATGGATAACTGTGGAAAAGCTAGAGCTAATACATGCACCAAAGCTTTGTCCTCACGGAAAAGCGCATTTATTAGAACAAAACCACGCGGCTTCGGCTGCTTCTTGTTGACTCAGAATAACTAAGCTGACCGCATGGCCTTGTGCCGGCGGCGTGTCTTTCAAGCGTCCACTTTATCAACTTGACGGGAGCATAATCGACTCCCGTGGTGGTGACGGATAACGGAGGATCAGGGTTCGACTCCGGAGAAGGGGCCTGAGAAATGGCCACTACGTCTAAGGATGGCAGCAGGCGCGCAAATTACCCACTCTCGGCTCGAGGAGGTAGTGACGAGAAATAACGAGACTGTTCTCTTTGAGGCCGGTCATCGGAATGGGTACAATTTAAACCCTTTAACGAGTATCAAGCAGAGGGCAAGTCTGGTGCCAGCAGCCGCGGTAATTCCAGCTCTGCTAATACATAGAATTATTGCTGCGGTTAAAAAGCTCGTAGTTGGATTCGTATCGGTACCTTGGAACCCTTCGGGTGTTTCTGGGTGTTATCGATTTATCGTAATGTTCGGTTTTGAGTCCTTAACAGGATTCTTAACAGTCATTGCAAGTTTACTTTGAACAAATCAGAGTGCTTCAAACAGGCGTTTTCGCTTGAATGATCGTGCATGGAATAATAGAAAACGATTTCGGTTCAGTTTTATTGGTTTTACGGACTGAGATAATGGTTAACAGAGACAAACGGGGGCATTTGTATGGCCCCGTGAGAGGTGAAATTCTTGGACCGTGGCCAGACAAACTACAGCGAAAGCATTTGCCAAGAATGTCTTCATTAATCAAGAACGAAAGTCAGAGGTTCGAAGGCGATCAGATACCGCCCTAGTTCTGACCGTAAACGATGCCAACTAGCGATCCGCTGATGGAAATTATATTGCCTTGGTGGGGAGCTTCCCGGAAACGAAAGTCTTCCGGTTCCGGGGGAAGTATGGTTGCAAAGCTGAAACTTAAAGGAATTGACGGAAGGGCACCACCAGGAGTGGAGCCTGCGGCTTAATTTGACTCAACACGGGGAAACTCACCCGGCCCGGACACTGTGAGGATTGACAGATTGATAGCTTTTTCATGATTCAGTGGATGGTGGTGCATGGCCGTTCTTAGTTCGTGGAGTGATTTGTCTGGTTTATTCCGATAACGAGCGAGACTCTAACCTACTAAATAGCTGATACATAATCTTTGTGTATACAGCTTCTTAGAGGGATTTGCGGCGTTCAGCCGAAAGAAATTGAGCAATAACAGGTCTGTGATGCCCTTAGATGTCCGGGGCTGCACGCGCGCTACACTGGCAAAATCAACGTGCTTGTCCTACCCTGAAAGGGGCGGGTAAATCATTGAAAATTTGCCGTGATTGGGATCGGAAATTGCAATTATTTTCCGTGAACGAGGAATTCCAAGTAAGTGCGAGTCATCAGCTCGCGTTGATTACGTCCCTGCCCTTTGTACACACCGCCCGTCGCTGCCCGGGACTGAGCCATTTCGAGAAATTTGGGGACCGTTGATTTAATTTATCTAAATTATTTTGATGGAAACCAATTTAATCGCAGTGGCTTGAACCGGGCAAAAGTCGTAACAAGGTAGCTGTAGGTGAACCTGCTGCTGGATCATTACTTTATGTGATGTTCAATTTTGAATCGCAATGAAATAATTGTTGTGTAACGGCTGTCGCTGGTGTCTAGGTGTTGCTGATACAGTTGTGAACGTCCGTGGCTGTATATGTGGTGACATGTTAGGACTATAATGAGTTTAAGACTTAATGAGCCTCTTAAGTGAGGACGCCAGCACTCTTTTTTTCTCTATATTTTAAAAAAAAACAAAATTCCTAGCCTTTCCGGTGGATCACTAGGCTCGTGGATCGATGAAGAACGCAGCAAACTGCGATAAGTTTTGCGAACTGCAGCAGCCTTGAGCATAAAAGTTTTGAACGCATATTGCCGCATAGGGGTCAA